GTTTCTACTTCCTGCCCTCTAAAACCCAGCTGGTTGAAGCAGATGGACGCTCGTCCTGAGTCTGGTTCTTCTGGAAGTTTCTTCCTGTTAAAGGGAGTTTTTTTTCTTTCCACTGTCTCCTTTGTTCTCAGGATGAGAGACTGAGAAGAAGTGGAGATTCAACACAATCTGCTGCTTCCTCAGAGAACTTTTACTTGTAAATGAGTCCTTGTGGCTCAATGAGACTAACCTGTATAAATAAAGGTCGAATGAAACTAATTTACATTTTATGTATGTGAATGTTTTTGTACAGTGCCCTGAGACAACTTCTGTTGTGACTTGGTATACAGTAAAGAAATAGGTACGTCACGTATAAAAGAATAGTCATGTAAAACCATGCTTGTGTGTGTGGGAGTAGGCGGAGCTTAAAGCCCAACATCATTAGTGCACAACCTCTGGTTCTGGAAAAATAAAGCAACAAACACAGCAGCTACGTAAACGGAACCAGCTTTCTTCAAGTCCTAATGAGGGACAGAACATCTAAATATAAACTGCCTATTGTTTCTGCCCCAGTTGTTCTGGGGTTTGGTTCCTGAGTGCGGTTCTGACCCCTCACTTGTTAAAGTTCTAGCCATCCAAGACAAATTACACCAAGGGAGGATAACAGTGTGACAACTGCGTGCCAAGCTTTACAGAACCCCTCTGCATCTGCACATCCCATCTGGACCAGCGTTACGTTTTGATGGCTACAGCTTCTCCGTCCCACATGGAACTGGAATTAACACCTGGACCGAGACTGTTGTGTTTGGTGTGGTGCCAGAACCAGAAGGCATGAACTGATGAGGAGGGGAGTCAGATCAGGCTCCGGAGTAAATCGTGCTTCTAGATTAACGCAGCCATCATGTGTGCACATATAGAAGACCAGTCCTGCTGACATTATGGAGACACTGGTTCCTGTTAACGTTGTGGTGGGAGAGCTGCAGATTTTAAATTACAGCTGGTTCTGACTAAGTGACATCCTGTGTCTGCATGCTGCACCCTCATGCTGCACCCCTCATGCTGCACCCCTCATGTTGCACCCCTCATGCT